GCTTGGTTTGACTGGAGTTTCTTTGCTTCCTTGTACACTCTCTTTTTCACACCCAATCGAGGACCCAAACACCAAAAAAAATTTTTTTTGGGAGTGGGCCTCCCCCCTTTTTCTCGGGTTTGGAAGAGTGCCCCCCCCCCCCCCCCTTATCTGAAGGTCTGAATTCGCCACTGGGAATTTGACTAGTTGAAGTAGATGAAACAATAACGAAATCCATCATTTTGGTCTGTGAAAAGGCCTAAAAGGGCTAACAGATGCATTTTCTGACTTTGAAAAAGATGCAGTATTCTACCCTAAACTAGGTACGTATAGGGGGTAATATTTGTCAATGAAAGGTATATAAAAGTGGTACCTATTGTCAAAAATGGTACATAAAAGGGTAAGGGGTTGGACCTCGGGGCAGAGTCTCCCCTTATAAAACTTCGTTGAGTCCCCCCGCCAGATGATTACCCATAAAGTCTGAAAAGTGGTTTTAAAAAACAGAATGTTTTGTTTAAGGACTGGGAGATAATCACCTACTCAGTCCTGGAAACATCCCTAGTTGTCTGTCTTCTTGAGCATATTTTCTAAAATAATATTTTGTTTGTTTGTTTGTTTGTTTTCACAGATGTCTGCTATTTCTGTGTTGTGGACAATATTGTCTCTTATTTTGCTCTTCACATGCTCCTTGGCTTTCTTTTCTCCATTTTGGCATGAACACATCCCTGATCCTACATCAGCAAACAACAGTGAAACTTTCATAGCTTTTGGACTGCTAAGATTTTGTTTGAAAGAACAATTTGTTACATTAGGTGACATCAATGAGTGGAGAGCGTCAAAGTATTGTTCATTCTACAAGGGGATTTTTCCTGGAATTCCTTCTGTGTTCTGGAAAGTAGCCACGATCATGTATGCACTTGCTTTGGTATTGCTGCTGGCATGCTTATTGTTAGCCCATATTTCCTGCTGCCGAAAGGTTATTTGTGGAAAATCAGTCTTTGGTATTGCTGGAATAATTCAGGGCATTGCAGGTAACGATCATT